GGCAAGGTTTAAGGAAGGACGGGAAGTCAAGGGATGTAATCCCTGTCATTATTCCCCAGTGAGAATCTGAGGAACAGAATCCAGGGCACTCAGGGAGAATGTGAAAATCTGTTCAGTGGAGAAAAAGAGGGGGAATAAATGCCAGGAAAGAAATAGGAAGCAATGAAGGAAGGATGGAAGAAAATAAAATAATTATGTTTGTGAGAGCTCCTTTCCTTACCCAAAGCCTGATACATCATAGTGATGCTATTTGAAGTCAGTTGAAGATTAGAGAAATTAGAAAGGAAGAAAATAAACTGTGATTTAATTTGGACTGGTGCAATTTTTCTCTTTTGCCCTTGCTGATAAAACTGTCATAATTTATCTCATGATGAAAAACTTAAAAGATAAACACTTAATTGAAATAGGCTGACACCTTTCCTAAGGGTACTCATTTTTGGACTAGGGTGAAGAGAAAGAAGGAAGGATGGAAAATGAAGGGGAAGAGAATTGATAGCTCACTAATCTATTTCCAGTCAAAACTGCTCGAGGTCCTCTGAAGTCAGCCCCTGTGGGGTGGTTGCCAAACAAAACACAGAGAAGTCGACCAGCTGTTATCCACAGAGAGAAGTCCATCTCTGAAAGGCCAACTTACAAAGGTGAGAAGGATCTTCTTAGGAAAGCCTCTCCAAGGGGCCATAGTTTCTGCATTTATCAAACATCCTGAAATCCTGGAAACTTGGAGGTAGTCAGAATTGATTTAAGCCCTTTTTACTATAAATCTCATTTCCAAAAATGATTAACAGAGGCAGAGACATCAATGGTAAAGTCCTGATCAGGGGAAATGCTGTCAGCGTATCATCTAGATAGATTAGAAAGTGAACACTCAGGTTTCTGTGAAGGAAGACTAATGACATTAAGTCAAGATGAAATAGAAAGGAACATCATACAGGCTCAAAAATCATAAACCATGAGCTCACCCTGACTGAAGACTTTCAGCAACTTTCTGAACTAGAAAATTATCAGGAGTTGGTCTGAGAGTATTTTCCTAGGCCTCATTTGGAGTACCTGGCTGGTTTGGTTTTATTCTGAAGTTCTGAGAACTGCTTTGCCAAGGTCCTGACATTTCTATGAAAATACCATCCTTCTGCCTACATTTTTCAGGGCAATCAATCAATCACATACTCAAAAACAAGAAAATGAAGGGTTGGCTCACTAAAACAATAAGTAACCATTTAAGATACTTCCACACTGCAGCCACCTGATATTCCATGTCACAGTTCTGCTACATCTCAGAAATAAGACAGAGCTGTTGACCTGGAATCGGTGGTGGCTGAAACTAATGTCCTTTATTTAAGTTAAAATCATATGGTGAAGCAAGTATATAAATTCCTGCCAAATAAAGGAAAAGCAGGCATTCTGTTTTGTTTCATAGTAGAACAATCCTGTACATCTGCTTCATATGTGGCATATGACTTGATTACTTAAACTGTATCTCCATTGAAAACACACATGCACACACACACACCAACACATGCATGCATACACTCACACATACCTTTATAATTTTTTTTTCCCGGTGGTACATGGGATAGAACTCAGGACCTTGTGCTTGTGAGGCAGGCATGGCACCACTGAGCTAAATCTCTGGCCCTAATTTTTTTTAGAATAGTCCATGAAATGGCCTCAAATCTAAATACCGGTGTGCAACAGGTTCTCTGTGATTTGACAGAATGAATCTATTGTGTTCTAATAGTCTCTTTGAGTTAGACCTGCTCACCTTCAGTGACACATACAAACCAGCTGAAAATTACTTCTGTCTTCTTAAAAGCTGGGGGCCGCTACAAACTTAGCGAAAGTCTCTCTTATGCAAGGAGCTTTGGAGTTCTTGACACTTGATGTTAGGTACTGGCCCTGCTGCTAGGCCAGCAATGGTCTCTAAGCCGCATCACACATCACTAAATTTTATGAGAAATAGGCCTACAAGCCTAAAATTCAAGGTAAATCTATATTTAATTTCAAGGGTGAAATGGTTATATGAAAATTAATTCCCCACCTCTCCCTCCATCTGACTCCTGCCATGCCTTATTATGGCTACAACATTAAAGGATAAAAATAGATTGTTCTTCATTTTCAAAAATGCAGTATTCAATAGATAGATGAGTAGTTATGTGGGTAGGTAGATACTTACTGTTCAATTCTAATGTTTCTGACTTAAAATTTTAAGGTCATTGTCTCCCTTCTGACACCTCTTACTACATCAACATCCCATTATATCATTATAGACTCATGAAGCAATGTACTTCTACATTTTGCAGGATAATAAGTCTTTTGTATTTCAGTTTTTATCATAATATAAATCTTGAATTACAATTTGCATATCTTTTGTTTAGAAAAAAAGAGACCCCTATTTAAGACTTTGTCATTTTAATACACGGGCTTTAAAGTGGCTTTTTTTTTAAAGAGAAAAGCACCAAAATATTCCAATTTATTCTTCAACTGAATCTGATTCTACCTCTACTGCTGCATCAGTAAATTAGCCAATGTCCTGAACAATACATTTCCAACAATGATGGCTCAACTGCTTATTTCTCTGTGCCAGTAGGCTCTCTGTCTATTAGAAGTCTAATCATAAATTTGTAATGGCAATTTGGACCAGGCTGTCTGACTGATATACATATGTATTTTCAATTTATTTATTGCATAAGAAGAATACATTGCCTGCCCAACAGCTCTTTAGTTTCTGCTTTTTTCTTTGTGTTTGTTTGTTTGTTTGTTTTCTATGGTAGGACCATGTTTATGAAGTGGTCTGGGAAATTTGTCACTGTGCCAGACCTTGGGGAATCTTGAGAAAGCTTTTATGACACAGAGCATGGCCAGCATCCTGCCCACCTCAGCACAGCACGGGGGAATGAGTGCTAAAGTAGTCTCCATTCCAAATGCTAACTCAGTACCTATCCCAGAGTGGGCTGGCCTATAGCCCAGATATTTGTTGAATAAGTGAATGAAGGAAGAAATGAAATAGTTTGTAGTTTCTCTTTCTTCCCAATTCTATCATCAAATTACAGAGCTCATTCAGTAGCTGCCACTCTCAAAGACAGTGAAATGTCTCTCTTCTTCCTGTCTGGCCCTGGAGGGAAAGAAAAGTACCTCTTCCCTCTGTCCTTCTGGGTTCTTGGCTAGGTCCCTTGTAACAAAAGACAGAATAGCAAGCGAAAAGCATACACTTTTATGCAATACAAGTTTTCCATGATGTGGGAGACCTCATAAGGAAATGAAGACCTGAAGAGCTATCCCGGATATTTCCATACTAGGTTTAATGAAGAGTGGGTAATGGTATAAGAGCAGAAAGTCATCACAGGACCGGGCAGGGTTGGGGGATGAGCTATGCCTAGGAAACTAGGGAAAACTTAGCAAAGTCCATTCTCTATGATTCCTCCTGATCTTCCTCCACCTTTGGAGATGAGGATGCTCCTTTCCTCCAGGTAGAGGGACAGCTCCTCTCTCGTGAGGGACTTATGACCTGCTCAGGGCAAGGGCACAGGGTTCTTCCTGCACTTACAGTTTCTCAGATTCCTTCAACTTAACCTACTCAACATGCCAAGGGGTCACAGTTTAGGGCAGCACACCCTGAACCTTGCTAACTCAGTGTTGGGGGGTTGGCTTTACCCTGCTCTTGCCCAATCCCAAATTGGAAGGCTTCCTTGGTTAGCAAAGGCACAAGACCACTGTGAGAAAACTACTTCTTTTGACAAGGGAAACCCGCCATCTTTAAAAACAAAGTTTAACCTTGTGCTTTCTAATGTCCTGATGACACAAGTGAATGAGCTGCTTGGGTTAAGCGAGTGTCCAGGAGCCGCTGAAGCAAGAGTCAGTGCTGTGGGGAGCTCCAAGCTGAGGCAGGGAAGTCACGCTACAATGGAGTTTAAATCCCAGCTCTTCCATTTGCTAGTGTTTTCATTTCAGCTACTTATTTAATTTCTCAAAGTCTCTACTTCTTCCTTTGTAAAATGAGAATAATAATCTGTTTTATAGGGTATTTGTGAAGATTAAGTGTGACAGCGAGTGTAGAAATGTTTCTTTAGGTTATGTTTGTAGAATGTCTTTACCTCTGTTCCTGCCACCACCTCTGCCCCCTCATCACTTATTATTCCAAATTATTTCTCCTTTCTTCCTGGAGAAAATGGGAAATGCAAATGTGGCTACAACCATAGCAGAATGAAAAAGATGAGCAGGAGAGAAATGGACCAAAATACCCACAGCAGAAAGCCGATCTCAAACCTGAAGGTAACTGGCTTCCTTTCGACCCCTCAGTCTTCACCTGACCTTCCCTTTGGGTGAGGATATGCTCCCTGGACACACTAAGACGTCCATGTCTGGCCAACCTAGCTGATAGTGATATGATGGGGAGCTTTGCAACCCCCCATAAACATAAGCAATTATACCCTGAAAAGCTCTTAGGCTTATTGCCCCATAAACTCACAATGAATAGCAACCTTAATAAACGTTATAAATCTCACCTCAGAGCCAACAGGAAATTCAGACTTTGGCATGTGTGGGAGCCAAAGTGCTGCTGAAACAAAAGGGAGGGACATGGACAAGGAGAACATTGTGCTTAGTCCACCTGTGCCCTGGCAGCCCCAAAGAGCCCCAGGCCTGGGAAAGGCCCGTAATTGTGTTTTGTGAGGCAGTTCTCTGGTCACTCACTTCCTTCACTCGCCTTAACTCTTTTTCTGTCCCTGTTGCCCAAGATGCAGTCCATTCATCCACATCATCTACGGATCGAAATAAATGACGGAAAGATTTGATGGGGCCAGATTATGGGCAAGTAGCTCTTCTAGGTAAATGTTTCAGTCAGAAACAATTTTAGCAATTTGATTAAATAGTAAAACTGAAACTTAAACTCAGAGCTATAAAAAAAGAAAGAAAAGGAATATCAAAGAAGAGGAATCACTGGATATTTTGATCCACACCCTCACAAAAGGGTGTTAGTTTTAATAAACAGTCACAATTTAGGGCTGTTATGAACCATAAGGCACACTCCTGGCAGTGTTTCCAATTTCCTCTCCTGCCTTTACTGCTGTTATATTAAGGTCTGCGGTGAGGCAAAATGTTTATTAAAAAAGGTGAGAAGAGCAGTATTCCAGATTAGATTATTTCACCTGTCCGAACTGTCCACCAGCCAATCAGAGCTCTTGGCCCTAGGTTTAAGAGCGGAAGCCTCCCACCTCTGGGGCTGAGGGGGAGGAGAGACAGCCCGTGCTCACAGAGTACATGTAGATTAGGTTATTTTAATTACCCACTTAGACTGAATATGGAATACATTTTCAAGTCACGGAAAGGGGACAAATAAATGCATCCAGAGCCTCCTCCATGATGGAGATAATTACACTGGGATTGAAAGTAAAACAGCTCAGCAGCAATGGCAATGAGGGCAGAGTGACACAGGATGGTCTTCATAGAAAGTGTCCTTCACATCATGGGGAAGTCTTTGAGATGTCTTCATGTGGAAAAACACTTTTTTTTCTTTGAAGACTCAATTCTTAGAAATTCTTCTGGAACAAAATGGAGGGAAAAGTTCAGTATGTTGGAAATTACCTAGAACACAGCAAAATCCCATTAAAGCAGTGTACTTCTTTGATTCTCTTGAAGGTTTCTTTAAGGCAATAAGCTTTCTTAAAGGGAATCCTTAGGGATTTCCAAATCCTTTAATTGTTCTGAATTTCTCTAATTGTAGGAGGTGCTGAAAAGTATTTTTATGTATTGAGTGAATTGTCTCTATTCCCCAGTGTTAACTCTTCCTTTATACTTCTTTCCTTCTCTTTCATGTTGTTAGGTACTTGATGCTCCTATTCCAAGCCAGGATGGTAAATGAGATTTTGTTGAAAAATATTATTAGGATTTAAAATATGCTACTTGACCTATGGCCAGAACTATGCAATAAGTTGTGTGTGACATTATTCCAGAGAATTTGTTTTAGAAACATGTTTTAAATCCTTGACACCAGTAGTTGTCTCGTCTTCTTCCATGTTCAAATAAGTAAGGCTTCTGCCTACAAATGTCTTCAAGGCTGGTGGAAGACAATAGAAATATAACACACACCACAAATGTAAGCCACATACCTCCTATGCAATTTTACTATTCTAGCAGACAAGTTAAAGAATAGAAAAAGATACCAATGAAAATAATTTTAACAATAGGATATTTAACCCAGCATATCCAAAATATTTGTATTTTAAGATGTAATTGGCATGAAATTTTACTAATGAGGTAATTGGCATGAAATTTTACTAATGAGGTATTTGTTATTTTTCACATGAATTCTTCAAAATCGGTTTTGTATTTTATAGTGCTCACAGCACATCTCAGTTTGAATCAGCCACATTTCAGGGGCTTACCAGTCACTGTAGTTAACATATTAGGTGATGTGGCCCTAGACACTCAAAATTTCTAATTCTTGAAGGAGTTTAGCTGATTTCCTTCCCTTTATTAGCTTTGGCATACAGCAACGCTACTCTATTCCTTCAACTGCACGTGCTTTAAAACCTCACATGTCCTGTAAGATCTGAGTAAACCCAGAAACCTATCATGTGACAACAGATCCTTGTGGTCTCCACTAAGATGAACCTGATACTTTCCAGTGTTTATCACGAGAACATAAAGTCCTCTTCTTTCAAGAGGCCTGTGTTCTTTGTGTGCATTTATGGAAGTATCACCTAGAGAAGAGGGGCTCCTCCGATGAGGGGGCACCCACACTCAGTGATTGGGGTTTTAGTGAGTCATGGCCCCAGTTCCCACCTCCCCTCATTTCTGTCTCCATCCTTCAGGGTAATCATGAGTCCATGGAGTCATTCCTTGGGCTCCCTGGTCTTCCTGCTGTATATTCGCTCTGACAGGCTGTTCCTGTGAGTAATTTGACCCAGTCTTCACCTTGAGATAATCAAGAACTCTGTGTGTAGCTTTTAAGTACATGCTTAAAAAAATAGATTAAATTCCCCAAACACATGTTTCTTTCTCTCATCTTACCCCACCCGAATCACAACATCATAAAAACTCTATCTGCAATTATTTTTCTGGAAAAGAATTTTTATAGTCCATGAAACAATCTTTAAAATCTATCCATGTGAATGAATGTCCTCCTAGTTTTATAGTTAAATATCTGAAAGGTCCAAAGAACAACTTATGATATGCAGGACCGGCCAGCCAGTGAGCAAATGGAACTGGGGACAGCTTTTTTCCAAATTTCTACTTTCATGGGAAAAAAATCTAACGTATTCTAACCCACTACAAAACTCAAGTTATGCTCATAGCCCTGTTACTTCAGAAGTCCATTCTTCTAAACAGGGCCTTCTGATATCAAATTTCTTGCAATACTTGATCTGCTCAGCAAAAGCCTCAGAATATTAATTGTTTGTGAAGCAAAGTTCATGCAAAGAAGGAGCCAAAAGCAACTAAAGCAGAGGTCAAAAATTTAGAATTAGTGGGAAAAGTAGTCACAGACTTTTAGGTGCCTGTATTTTTTTTAATGTTACCCTACATTTCCTTTTTTTAAGTTGTTATATAATTATTGTTATTTATTAATTAAATGTTAGACTGACTTTTGTTTTGCAGAAAACATAAAAGGTGAGATTTAATTTTCAGTGCCTTCTTTCCCCTGTTACCTATGTCTGGATAAATGCCATATAAACCAGTGCAACCATTGTACAAGATGCCAACCCTTACGCGGTAGCAACCTAAATTTGAAGACACTGGTTCAAATAAGAAAAGCAAAAATAAAGACCAGCACTAGAAATCCAAATTTCTAAAGCAATGGCAGATGTCACCAAATGCAGTCATCTGCCTTTTCTGTTGCCTAGACTTCTGCTCTATTCTGAGTGGCATAAATAGTGCAGATCCAGGTAATGTGTTTTTGTTCAGACACAAACTACCAGCCTTCTCCCGTGATCAGGGAGCTCATGGCTCTGAGACTGCTCTGGCAGCCTAGACCCTGTCTTCCTTCTACCCTGCTTGCTGACCCATATTGCCCAGGTTGTGCCATGGTAAATGCCCTGAGGCACTTTGATGGCAATAAATTAAAAAGGAATTAGACTTGTTTGAAAGAGAATATTACAATTTTCACCTTAAAGGAAGAGATCTAATCATGAAACCATATAAAGGAAGCAGGCATATTACTTAATGAAAGAAGCCAGTCTAGAAAGCTATATACTGCATGTTTCCAATGGTGTAACATTCTTAAAAAGGCCAAACTATGGAAATACTAAAAGATTAGTGATTTCCAGGGGATAGCAGGGAAGGAAGGATGAATATACAGAGCATGAAAGATTTTTAGCAGAATGAAACTGCTCTATGCAAGACAATCATGGTAGATACATGTCATTATACATTTGTCCAAATTCATAGAATGTACAGTATCAGGAATGAAACCTAATATGAACTATGGACTTTGGGTGATAATGATGTGTCACGGGGGTTCATCAATTCTAATAAATGTGCTGCTCTTGTGGGGAATGTTAATAATGAGGGGAGCCTATGTATGTGTGGGGGAAGGGGCTATTCAGGGAATCTGTGTACAGGTACTTTTCTCTTAATTTTGTTGTGAATGTAAAACTTATAAAACAACAAAACATTTAAATAAGAAAAAACATGTTACACATCATCTAGGGGAATTTTATATATGAAGAAATCAGGGTTAGAAATGTTAGAGGACTTGTATAAGACCCCGCCTTTAACTAGTATCAGAGCTGGGTGAGGTTATTGCAGGAAATTGTATGGAACTAAAAGAAAAAGTAAATTGAGTTATACCAGACAAGGAGCAGCTTGTGGCTCTTTCGTTCTTTTGTAAGTTTCAACATCTGGTACTTCATGATGTAGTGCAAGTAAACTGCTCCTTGCTATCAAAGGGCTAGGGGGCCAGAAGTGGTTAGGTTTTCTGTATTATTCAATTACATGGAAAATATCTGTGCTCCACTTGTAGCACAAATGTAGTTGTGGACATGCATTTTCTTGGCACACTCAACTCCATGAGAGAAGAGAGTGTCTCCCTCTCCTCTGTCTTTTCCTCTATCCTTAGTTCCCAACATAAGGAATACATCAGTCTCTGTAAATAGGTTTTGAATGAAAGAATGGATAAATGAACAAATGAGTGAATGAGTCCTTGGAAGGAAAGCTGTTTACAGCAGACATGTACTCTGCTTTACATATTCATTACACTCCTGTAAATGTGTAGGCAGGCCTGTCATTGGTAACTCACATGATGTGATGTTCTCTTACTTTTTGTCATGTGCCAATTTTGCATCTAAATTATCAGTAGCCACTGTCTTATGCCAATGATCTGAACCGAACACATACAAATCAGAGGTGGAAATCTTTTACAGGGCCTTTGTAAAAGTAAAATATTATTTGTGTGTTGCTGAGGACTAACAAACCCTTATTCGTCTGGTTTTCAAGTTGGAATTTGTGCATGAACCAGTGTGGTTATTTGTTTTAATACCTGGAGTCATCTTTCCAAAGGAAGAGGACAGGCACGACCAACAAAGAGCAGAAAGCAACACCTCTGAATGCTCAGAGGCCCTCCAGCACTTGTGACAAGTGATTAAAAGCAGAGCGGGGCTACGCCTCAAGAACTCTTGCTCTCTACTGGTCCCCTTGAACCCTGGGAGACTTGGTTTGCCATCAATTCTACACAAAGTGAGGACATATTTTTCAGTTGAGAGGCAGTCAGGGGGACAGAGACAAACACCTTGGTATGTCAACCTTGAAGTACCACCTGGAGGGCAAGGGCCTTTCACAGTTTAATAGTGGACAGAATGTTATGATGATGATCTGGGTCAGGTGGTGACTGAAGCAGTCACGGATCCTGAAACAACAGATGTCACAGTGACAGCTGTAATATCCAAGACTTATTTTTCTCCTTCAGCAGCAGAACCAAATAACAAGCAACAGTGCTGATCCTGCAGAGGAGGCACCGCCTTTCCTTTATTAGTTTGCTCACTTTGGTTGTACAATGTTAACTCCTGACACCACATGTGCTAAGTTTCAAGCAGCCCAATGTTTCCTTAAGATATGAAATACAGCACAGAGTGCTCATGGTAGCCTTTTAACAGCTAAATTTACATACACACACACACACACACACACACACACACACACACACATATATATATCTTGGTGTTACTATCACCGAACTCTCCTTGGTTCCCACTGAGAAAACTTATCTGGTTTTTAAAAGCCTACTGGCAAATTGGTAGACAATTACTGACAAAGTAGCTCCCTTTCAGTAGTGTGAAATCCAGAATATCATGATTATAAATATACCACACAATTTTTAAATGGCCCAATATACTGCATAGTCTATGAGACTATAAATTTCATTGATTTATAAGTATATAGAGCAGTGTTACAATATTAAACAATGCATAGATAAAAGTGTGTCTAGCATATAATACCTGGCATAGTAGGCACTCAATAAATATTAAACAAATGAATTGTGCATGCTGTAGGGCTGTTTCTGGAACCTTAGCTAATTGTATCCTTGCTCTTAAGTGTTTACTACTCGCCCCCTCCCTTTCTGACCGTAAATACCATTCTACCTCTCTATATATACACCTTGCTAATTAATCCTGTTCTAAATAATATGATACACTGGTGTTTTTTATTTGTTTGTACTTAAAATATATGGGATTCAATAAAAGTAAATTAAATACCACAAGTTAAAAGAATTCTTAAGGAGAAACACTACTACTACCATCACCACCACCAACAAAAACTCAACTCAATATCCTTTAAAGTAGACTTCCAAAAGCCTTGCCTGTCAGAAAAAATCTCTTCTATTTCTCAACCAGTGTGGAATGGGTGACCATCACTCTGCTGCTGAGTGTCTCTGTGTTCCCAGCCTAAAGACTTATTCTGTCACTTGGGACTGATCAGCAGGCTGCTCTGGAACTTGCAAGCATACCGTTACCTCATTCTCAAGTTTCCTGGGCAAATAGATCTCAGCGTCTTCTTTCTTACTGCAGCCTTGTCTGGATTAGTAGATTCTCTGCCAGTCTTAACCTAATTTAGTTTAGGTTTGGGGATTATGACCGAGATTCCTGACTGTATTGGTGAGCGTTCTCTAGAAGAAGAGAATATTCTGTGAGTTGTTTTATCAGGCAGGCTTACCAGTGGGAGAGTCCTTGATGGCTGCATACATGCTGGAGGGCTGTAAAACCAAGTAGCTGCTCAGTCCAAGAAACTGGAAGCTGCAGGAGGAGAAGGATCAAGGATGCAGCGTCAGTGCTGCACTAAAGATCTGGAAACTCCCTGGGGAGTCATTGGTACAAATCTATATTAAAAGGTTGAAGAAGTTGAAATCTAATATTGGTAGGCTAAGACATTAGCAAAAGATGCATCTGCTCAAGAAAACTGGAGCTTTTCAAATGCAGGCTGACTTCTTTCTTCTTTCCCTTTCACTCCATCCAGGTTACAAGCCGATTGGATGGTGCCCCCTTCAATCAGGGTGGGCCTTCCCCCTCAGCTTCCTGGTCTACATGTGAGTCATCTCTAGAAGTGCCCCACAGATGCCTCCAGAACTGTCCTTTACTAATCTGATAGGCTTTTCTTAATCCTGTCAAGTTGACATAGCACAATTAAGGGTCACAGTGGTGATCCCAGCTTCCCCTAGGGAGGAGTAAGGAGCATATTGTGGAAGACATGGCCATACATCAGTGACCACCATGCTCGTAAAAGATTAACTGAACATCTACTATTTGCTGGGCCTTGGAGACATAAACATATAGAAAATGCAGTAGATTTCCTTAGAAAACTCATAAATGTACACAGGAAGACAACAGTTGTCTTAATCAGTTTTTTGTACCTGCGACAAAATAGTCAACATCTGGAACTTAAAGGAGGAGAGGGTAGTTTGGCTTACAGTTTTAGTCCATGGTTGGCTGGCTGTAGAGCAGAAACAATGGGAAAGAAACATGGTGGAGAAAAAGGTGCTCAATCTATGGCAGCTAGGAGACAGAGAGAGAAAGAAGGACCTGGACAAGAATACATCCTTTTAGCTCAAGGCCCTAATATCTACCTCAGCTGCTGAACTGATCATGGGACAAATCCGCTGATGAGTATAGCATGCTTATGATCTTTCCATAACCAAGACAGTTTGGGAGGACATTTTAGATCTAAATCGTAACAATTGAAAAAATTAAAGCAGTCCATGAAAAGAGCTCAAGTAGATGGAACAGACAGTAAGTGTTGGAGGAGGGCACACATGCAGTGAAATTAGGAGGCTGAGCTCAAAAGCTAAACAACATGGGAGAAAAAGACTTAACTTGAGACCAGAATCCTAAAGAAGTGCAACCATGAAATGTCAAGAAAAGAAGAAAGGGTTAATTCTATTTCAAACCAAAGTAAAGTCCCTGTCTCTTTTCTCTTGAAAGCAAGAGGAGAGATTTTTTTAATATTTATATCTAGCTTATCCAAAACCAAGCAGTAGAGGAACTTCACAAGACCAAGTTTGATTGCATGTGATTGACAGAATACAAACTTTCAAATAATGTTGGAAAAATCCCTGAACTTCTGGAAGCTCTGACACCAGCCTTTCCCACCTACCTGTGGGTGGCCCAATCTAATCATATGAGCGATTAGAACTGAATGTGGCAGGTCACAGCCTAGGTGAGTCCTAGAAATATAACCAAACATGCAGTGTTAAGAAGAGAAAAGGAAAAGGAAAAGAAAGAAATCCTCAGTGGGATGAAACCCAATTTTAAGCCTCCAGAGCATAGAAAAGCCCCACTATTCATTAAGGGAGGTCCCATCAGCTATTTTCTCAGGCAGCTTGTATTCACATTAATGAATGAAAGAGAGAATTTTAATGTGCACCTCTGAGAGAAATAAGACCCCCAAAAAGTTCATTTCCCAGATCCCTCTGGGTTTCCCCCCTTTTCCCTTTTCTAGTGCATGATAATGAGGTTTCATGGCTTGTCAAGGCAGAGAAAAGGGTAGTCGGGTTCTGCATTCACAGACTCAGTGCCACAGAGCTTTTCTGTAGCCTGTAGCCAGGCACTTCCATTCACATCAGGCCTGGGCTCTGAACACGGGGACTGGGCACGGACATCCAAGCCTTCCTCACTAGGCAGGGGACATCCAGACTGCTCATGAGAGGATTCTTATCTCCCCTTTGCAGCAAATCTCCAAGCACGCCCTAACCTTGACACAGTCTACCAGTATTGGATCCTGGTTTCTTTACACCCCCAATCCGAACAAATTTAAAAAAAAAAACAAAACAAACTTCTGCCAGACATTTGGAGAAAGGGTTCATACAGAAAACTGGAGGTCAGGATGTCGATCTTATTTGCCCTGAAATATCCCTGAACTTGTAGAAATTCATATTTGTTTACATTACAAATACACTAAATGAGCTAATTATAGTGATCATAACTCACAATTAAAAACAAGCACAGAGATTTCAAAGACTTTCAATATCTTTTCTTTAATCATTCACCCAGGCTCAAAATATGCATTTTTTAGATTAAAGCATTAAAGTTGCTAATTATATTCTCAGAACTAACAATTATTTCTTTACCCTTTTACTACCTTCTTCTGGCAACAAAAAATGTCAGCACTGATTTAATTTTTTGTTATTATAGGATTAAAAGAAGTTTCTAAAAATGCAATTAAATTTGCCCTATAGCTAGAGCAACTTCCCTATCAGCATCTGAAACCTCTTCCCTAAAACAACAGCATAAAAAATGATTCAGACTTTCCTGACTTTTGCAACACATTCCTTCGGTGATTATCTCCAATAACAACTCAACCGTTTTAATGAAACTCCCTCACATCACGTCCTGGTGAAAGGTAGAACATATTAGATTAATAAAGAAAATGAAAGTTAAATTGGCTGTTGTAGTGTGAAGCCCTGCCCGTGTCATGCATGGATTCTTCACCTTTGGGAACCTAGTTCAACTTCAGCCCGAGGCCCTAAGTGAAAAGTTCAGTAGTCTTGAGTATGTCCCCACTTAATATATCACAAAATCAATTATTTTATGGTAGTACACTTGGTAACCTTTGCTCAGACAGAATCAAGTTTTGTTCCCACTGGGGATTCACCAATTATCTATTCAGTGAATTATTTTCAGATAAAGCAGAAACACCTGATGTCAGCAGAGGGAGTGTCTGCCTAATACGGGTATCATTCTGAGCTTGACGTGTTGCTGCATTTGTCACGTGCAGGATGGCACGGCAAGACTTTGGATGGATTTATCACATTAGCAAGATGCTTGATGGGGCATTGGAGCATGATTCAGTGCCCAAAGTTAGAGCTAAAATGCTGTAGCGAAGACATCCAAAATGAAGCCTCGGAAAAATTGGGGAAGGGGGTAATCAAGTGTGCAGATGGTGCAACTCATCTGTCTTGCCTTATTTCCAATAAGTCAGCACAAACAAAATTTGTGATAATTCAGCACAATTTCCTTTTACTGGCTATTGACCTGGGCCAGATTCAAAGTAGAAACCAAAAAAGGGCACCACGGACTTTGATTCTGAGATTGTGACAAAGGTCAGGTTTGAGACAACCATGGTTTATGAGGGCTGCCACCCCTAACCATCTGCTCAGGTAGGACTCTCATTCTTTCAGGGTCTATTTTTTTTTCCTTTCCAGAAATCAGTCAGCCTAAAAAACACCCAAGGCACTTATTTTTCTCTTTTGCAAAATTAACAATAGTACCTGACATGGAAACAAAAGAAAAACATGACAAAAACGATTTGTCCACATGTTCTCTTGCATTTCAAAATCTCAGAGTTTTAACTCATCCACTCTAAGGCCCCATCATGAATGAGTCATAAAGCATTTGTAGGACATCTACTACTAGATGCAGGACAGTTTGACACTACAGGAAGAAGAGGACTGCCTTCAGAGGAGGCCTCTGGATGTGATGTCTGTGCTGTCATAGAGCTGTGTAGTGTCTGTGGTTATTTCTTTCAGTGAAATAACTCCCTACCAAAAGTGCCATGCCACAAACGATGGAGAAAAGGGTCCATGCCTGGTTATGAGCAGTTTCTAGAATCAGATTTACTTGGATTCGAATCCTAAATCTATCCAGTTATCAGCTGTGCTATAGCAGACATTTATCAAACTGTTTAAGCCTTAGCTACTTTAACTTCAGAATGGTAATAGTAACTTATATCATCTTCTGAGGGTTATTAATATATTAAATGTTAATATATTAAATGTTTGGCATTGTCACAATTTCTCTGAAATTTTAACTTCTTTTGCTGGGAGTGATAATTATTACTGAAACTGTATTGTTGCATTTGTTATACTATTGATAAGGAAAAACTGAATGTGAATATTTTGAATGCTGCCCAAGACTTACTTATAAAATTCTTGAGAGAATCAGTGGAAGAAACTAATAGTGACTGAGCTTGAAGCTCAAAGGAAAAGAGGTAATGGGTTTAGAACAGGCATCAATCTTGCTGCAAAGAATACTAAGTCAGCTCTCAATTATCTTTGTTAATAGAAGAGAGGAGAATAATCTAAAACAACAGCTGACTCACCAAGCTGGCATTTTGTTTTTAATTGAAATCCCACAAGATATGCAGACATATAACCTGTTAGATTCTGCTCTACATTCTGGCTCAGTTCTTGGTCCTGGTTGCTGGCAGGTGCCTGAGACTTGGCTATGTCTCTGAGAAAGAACTTTACCTTCCCAGTGATGTGCCATCTACTCTTACACACTTTGGCCATGAAAGAGTTTCAATTCATTGCTCAGTCACATTCTGCCCCTTTCAGGGGAGCACCCTTATATATTTGGTTTGTTTGTTTTGAGACAAGGTCTAGCTATAGTTGAGGCAGACCTTGAACTCACTATGCAGCCCAGGCTGGCCTTGAATTCACCATGATCCTTCTGCCTCAGCCTCCAAAGTGCTGGGATTACAGGCATGCACCACCATGCCAGGATTCCCAATTTATTACTTTCAGGCCAGAAGGTCTGCTCAGGCTAAAACAAGCACTATTTTAAACATCATACCTTATCTTAAAGGTATAACCTACAAGGAGACAAATGAATTTGCTTTAGCAAGAACAGTTACTCCAGGCCTGATCCTTTGAAGCTCTGATTCCTAAACTCCAGTTTTTTCTCCTCTGCTCCTTCACTCCTGTTATTTCCTGATGTTGTTCTAAGCCTTGGCTAGCATCATAAACACAAAGAAATTGTCTCATGAAGAAGAGGCCAACTTCCTTCTACTACTCGAGCAACCA